TCTGGCCCTTTAAATACAGTTCCTCATGCTGTGACCCAACCATAAAATTATTTTCGTTGCTACTTCATAACTGTCATGTTGCTTCTTTTATGAATCGTCATGTAAATATCTGATATGCAGGATGGTCTTAGGCGACCCCTCTGAAAGGGTCGTTCGACCTCCCTAGGGGTCGCGACCCACAGGTTGAGAACCGCTGCAAATTCTAGGACCTTAGACATTCCTGCCTCGGAACCTGAAAAGTTGGGTTCCTAGAATTCCAGAGCCCTCGGCCCTTAGAACTTTGTGATTCCCAAATGTGAAAAACGCAAAATCCCCATCCTACCTCGAGAACAGCGCTCTCTGTAACTTCCAAAATTAAAGTTTTCTTAGCGCTCACAAGTTCCACAACTCTGTACCCTAGAATCCGCCTTTCTGAGCTCTGGGAAGGGGGCTTGTTGAGTGGCTGAGGGAGGGCTGGAGCCATCTGTTTTTGCCTTTCCCTCCTGCAGAAGGAAAGCCACACTAGTTGGGGAGAAACCCCCCAAGGATGAATCTGCCAATGTGAGTTAGGGGCTCTTCCTGCCACATACACCTTAGGCTGTCCGGTCGGGGTAGGGACATTGGGGAGGCGGTGTGACAAGGCTGGGCTGGACAGAACCGAACCTGGAAGAGGAATGCACAGAGGTGCGGCAGGGACTGGCTCATGACCGTTTTATTTCCCACCAGCAGGAGGAGCCAGAGGCCAGAGTCCCAGCCCAAAGCGGTGAGTGAGAGCCCCGTCTAGCCCCAGGAACTACAAATCCCAGGATGCTTTGTCCTCACACATAAAGCACATTCTTGAAAGAATCTGTGCAAACAGTACTGGGGACTGTAGTCTCCTGAGATGGTTCTTTGCACAGGGGCTGATGAGGCTGTGGGAGGATTGGGGGAGGGAGGCATTCCTCGTCCCTTATCTTTCTGATTTGTCCCCCAGAACCTGTGCGGAGACCCTGGGAGAAGAACAGCACAACCTTGCCAAGGTGGGTCGTCAGTACTGGGGCCACACCTGCCCCCAGTAGGTGGATTTGCTGATTCTGTAGGGGGTAACGCCATGATTGTGGAATGGGTGGCAGGCCCTCTCTAACCTCACGTCTGTCCCAAACCACACCGTCTCTTCCAGGATGAAGTCGTCGCCTTCAGTGACCACTTCCGAGGCCCACCCCGCCACACCCAGCTCCGGGGACGAGTCAGACCTGGAGAGGGTGAAACAGGTAGCTTGGCCAGGGGACTGGGGGTGAGGTTCGGGGGGCTAAGAAAGGGGCCACAGGAAGAAGGGAGATCTGGGTGTACATCAGTGATGGCGAACCTGTGACACGCGTGTCAGAGGTGACACGTGAACTCATTTTTTTGGTTGATTTTTCTTTGTTAAATGGCATTTAAATATATAAAATGAATATCAAAAATATAAGCCTTTGTTTTACTATGGTTGCAAATATCAAAAAATTTCCACATGTGACACGGCACCAGAGTTAAGTTAGTTAGGGTTTTTCCAAATGCTGATATGCCGAGCTCAAAAGGTTTGCCATCACTGCACTAGGGGGGTTTTACTGATTTATTCACTTCCACAGT